TACTTTGTCTTTGATCATATTTCCCTTCCGCTCTCTAACTCAGCCCCTAATTCACCTAGTGCAACCAAACTTGGTATGCTTACACATCTTGGGGAGAAGGTCTGTCGCATACCAAAACCACCACTGCCCTTGACCTTAGTTTGACCTTGACCGTCGACTTACATTTCCTCTTCGGCCTCCTAGGGTAACCAGATTCCTTATACTTCCACATCTGAGGCAGACCAGTTGTCTAACAAACCTTTGTATTTGTGACTTATTTAACTTTACCTGCCTTCTACGTCCTTACAGAGATATTCCATTCATACTAGATCACGGGGGATACATGTAGTTGGCGACAACTGCTCGTTTCTAGTTATGACTGTATCTTCCTCTACGTATATCACGCCGGGCTCTACCTTCAGGCCGTGCGTCGTGTAATTAATGCCGTGCGTCGTGTAATTAATGCCGTGCGTCGTGTAATTAATGCCGTGCGTCGTGTAATTAATGCCGTGCGTCGTGTAAAATGCCTAAAGTCGTACGTGTAATACCGTGTGTCGTGTGTCGTGTGGTTAGCCATCAGGTACAAGAGGCCCGGTTAGAGTGGGATGTCCGTCATGCCGATGGCTGTCCCTTAAAGGCTTTCCCATCGTGACCTAAGTTAACCCTGGAAGTGCAAAATGTTGTTGTCTGCCGAACATGTTGTGGTCCGGCTGTGAGCTGACTTGTGCTGGACTCGTTATTCGCTAGTGACAAAACTCACTAGCCCTGCCAGAAATATATAGCAAGAACACAACATACGTGCGTAGAATGCGTAGTTCAAACTTGATAAAAAAAATTGTTTCAAATAATTGCAAATAACAATTTAACACAATACAATGGGTAAAACGCATTGAGTGTCCAGTTATAGAAAAAATAGTGATGGACAGTGGGTCTGGTGCACAAGTAAAATTTGCTGCCGTACTCGCCTGAAAAACGCCTTCCGTCTGACAGGTCCGACGAATTTTCCCATTCTCAATCTGTTTATCAGCAGCACGGCTGTCAGTATTGCCATGTTCAGTTCGCCAGTCGTTGGCTCTGTGTCTTGTCTTTCGCCTGTGAAGGGTAGATATTTCCACTCACTGTATGTACAGCTGAGTGGTGAGTCATGGTGTTATCATGAGGTAATAAAACCAAATGACCCGCAGCAGGGACCATCTAGTTTGAAATTTAGATGGTTCTCCTAAATTTTAGATGCTCCTCCTAAATTTCAAATTGTTCTCTAAAAGTAATGCGGTGTGCAAGCGTAAGAAAGAGATTTTACATGGTGATAAAAGGGAAATTATTCACCTACAATGAATGTATCAACGATCAGTAGTGTTCCCCAACGAGTTCGGGGGGGGATACTATGGATTTAGGCCTCGTCGCGCACCGCCGCCGCACCGCAGAGTTTCCTTTGAGCCGCTCTACGGCTGCAGTCTTCACGATCATCTTCGCATGAAGTGCGTTTTGTAAAGCGAACGACGGCCAATCGTTTTTGGAGTTGGGCAGAAAGTCATCGTTGCCTGTAACAAAATTTTGTCGACATTCTAGAACCTGTAACTTCTGCGTTTTTACCGATTGCCCATGAATTTGGACACACGCGCAATATTATCATTACTATATACTATAATATATATGATAAACTGGACATGTAATTTCGCCCTGTGTGCAAATTCCATGACACATCGGAAAACAGCAACAGTTACAGGTTCCACAATATTTCCACAAATTGTTTACAATGCACGATGATCCCCCCAAAAACGATTGGCGTTTCGACTTACCATACGACCTTCTCCAATTTGAAGCAAGTCCTGCGACTTCTTTCACCTTACCTTTACCTTTCATATTCCTTCGCTCTTACTCAGCCCTATTCCCTGTGCATCCACATTGGTATGCTTCCACATCTTGGGGAGAACAGGATCTGTCGCATACCCAACCCCACTGCCTTGACCTTAGGTTTGACCTGACCGATCGACTTACCATTATCCTCTTCGGCCTCCTAGGGTACACCAGCATTCCTATGATATTCAATCTGAGGCAGACCAGTTGTTAATCACCTTCTGTATTGTGTACTTAGTTAACTGTACCTGCCTTCTACGTCCTTACAGAGATATTCCATTCATACTAGATCACGGGGGATACATGTAGTTGGCGACAACTGCTCGTTTCTAGTTGTTTATTCACTTTAATAGTATATTGGTTAATAAAGTTGTTTCAGTAGAATTTAGTTGAACCCATAACGGTCCGGTCCGTCGGACCTTTGACTTTGAAAATCTGATGGTCCTCCTGATTATTTGATGGCCTCGGACCATCGGACCATCGGACTATCGGACCATCGCTTATTTCGACTTCTGCGCAGGTCACCCGCGGGTCACCCACAGAGCCGTAGGTAGCAGTGCTTTCGTATGCATCTGCTGGGTTCTGAATAAAAGAATGTACTGTTTCAATACTGGTTGCAGCTTTCAATCGGCATAAAATTTAATGTAATGTACGAATTGGATTGTCTTGACATGAGGGATATTTGTTGCGTATATGACACAATGTATCTCAGCAATTTGTTTTTTCTTGCATAATCTGGATGTCACAGAATAGCTTCAGCTTTCAAGGCATGTTGGACTTTACATGCGTTAAAGGACTGGGAAGAACCAAGTTTATCAGTATTGCTTACATAATACCAAGCATGTACACTAAGCCTAATGTCTCTTAGAACACTCACGCATCGTTATTTTCACCCATTATTTTAGACACCGATCTGCAAACTATATTTGTTTACGTGCTCAGCTAGCCAGCGACAGCGCCTCTAGATCTTGCACGAGATCATAGCTGTGGAGCAGGTGGTGTTGAGCTGATGTCAGAGTGTACCCTTCTGTCTGTCTGTCTACCTGTCTGTCCCTTCACAGGCAGCATAAATAAATTGACATATTCAAGGTTACGCGATTATGGAAGCTAGGTTGAGATCTTCACGCGGAGTAGATTTTCGTGTGTGTGTGTGTGTTTGTGTGTAATGTACCCAGTTTTTTATCTTGTGGCGAATCTCAATGGCGTGCTTTCACAATAACCCAACTCTTTTACAGGCGGCACCAGTGTAACGGAGGTATTCGGGAGCGGCGTGAGTCTACTGGCGATCTAAGGCTAGGCGTAGGTGTAAGAAAGGGAACTAGACAGAGGGCACTCACGGAGAGTGCATACCTCCGCGAGCGTGTAACATGTATGTGTATAACAGCTGGCTCGCTGCTGGCTGCTGCTGACTGAACGCCCTAAGGCGAGCTGATGCTGAATCGATCGCGCCAACGCTACACACACACACGAACACACACACGAACAGACACACGAGACCGATTACATGACCTCCGTTGCGCGGAGGTAATAACGCAAACCAACAGAGAAAGACAGCAACTACGGTCGTAACGTACCACACGAGCGTTTATTCTCTGACATGGTGACAGTCGAACAAGATGCAAGCGGTATAGGCAAACGTTTAATAGAGACGAGAGAGGGGAACAAGAGTTAGTCGAGAGGACAGTCAGGTTCTCTCCTGAGCTCGGCCTGGGTCTCGGCTTTTAAGCCTGTTAGTAATTGGGATAATAAACGCGCGACTTAGTGACAAGTTTCTCACCGTGCGACTTCAAAGCAGGCGTTTCTCCACCATCGCTTCTTTTCCCTTGTCGCACCTAGGTGTCGCCATCGAGGGTAGTCGCCACCCCGGGCGGGCTCGGATGTAGCCGCTGTTTATCTGTTATAAACTCGCGTCGCTACCAGCGTGTTCCTCGCTACATCGCGATGCATTTCTGGAGTATATCGGTCGGTAAGGCAGACTTTCTACACGTGTGATTACTGGCGAGTGCAAGCAGAGGGTGTAGTTATGGTCACAGTGTTTGCACATGTACTGGAAGGCAGACAACGAGATGATGACAGACACAGATGTGACTAGCGTCTAGGGCTACGTGGTGTGATGGGACAGTTGACAAATATTATCATGGGGATTTGCTTGGCAGAGGAGCTTATGTCATTGTGCTAATACATATCGTGTTTGGATTTATAAATCATTTCCATCCGTGCTCACTGATTGTGAGGCTGTATGTTAGCTGACGTGGACCACAATCACAGGGACATTGGTACATTGACAATAACAATAATCCTTTAATAGTATTTTATTGTAATCCAAATTATAATAAAATGTTCTAAAAAGATTTTACATCTCTATATATATATAAAGTTGTTCAGCCGAATTAGTCTGTTCGCGCATAACTAGAGAACTACGTAGCCTAGCAGAAAACATAATTCAGAATCACCACACCTGGGAGATGGTTCTGGCTGAAACAAAAATGTAAAAAAGTTAAAAAGTAAAAAAATAATTCTATTCGTCAATAGATGGCGGTGCGTACAGCCTAACATCCATAGAAATCATATCAATACACATATATATATATATATATATCAATATGTGTTTATATATATCAATGCTAACATCTCTAACGTGTTAATCATGTTCTGTAACCATACCGCCGCAGTGGTCGAATGGATAAAGCATCGGACTCCAAAACCATTGATTCTGGGTTCGAATCCCACCTTGGGGAAATTCTGTTTCTTTACTTTTGGACTGTTTACTATGTACTTCTGCCACTTCACCGTTAATTTCAAAATTAAAATTTTTTTACTACATTTAAACGTTTAGTAAAAATCCAGAATAAACTATGGTAGATGATAATAATAGCACAAACTGACGGGAACACTTCACGGAAGCCTATGTAGGTTACAGATCAAGTATTATTATATTTTTTATATAATTTTATTTTATTAATTTTAATTTTTTACTTTTTAATTTTAATGTCTTTTATCTTTTGATTTCTTATTATTTTTTATTGTTTGGGAGGGGATGGGATAGCATGGGATGGGATGGCATGCGATGGCATGGCATGGCATGGGATGGGATGCGGTGTGATGGGATGGGATGGGATGGCATGGAATGGGATGGATGGATGGATGCATGGATAGATAGATAGTTAGATTTTTTTGGGTATTTTCCTTTCAACCAAGCGGTCACCAAGAGAGTACCGCCACTGATTTCCCCGGGCAACGCCAGGTATCCCGCTAGCATTTTAGTTCATCTGACGTAGTTAGATGCAGCTTGTAGAATCGCATGATTGTCCGTGCGTGCGTCCGGCCATCCGACCGTCCGTGCATCCGTCCGTGCGTCAACAGTTGGGCACAAATCTTAACCGCTCGACGTACGGTCACGATATTCGGGATGTGGGGGGGGGGGGTCGTGAAAAGGACTCGGGAGGATCAATTTGGGGGTCAAGGGTCAAAGGTCAAGATGTGCAAACGGAAGGGGAATATTTTTCCCTTAACTTAAGGTATAGGAGGAAATACGGAATTGCGGCACAAATCTGAACGGCTCGACCTATGCTCTCAATATTCGGTGTATAGTGTGATGGGCAGGAAACCCATCACCAGTGCGAAATTGGAGGTCACAGGTCAAAGGGCAGTGGGGGAAAGGTCAGATATCAGACATTTTCTGAGGACGTGGCCTAACGGACAGAGTGAAAAACTTTTTTGTTTCAGCGCTGACCTACCATTTTTATCACTTTATTGAAAGGATCATGAAATATGCTTTCCACTGACGTGCGAAGGGTAAGTGTCTGATAACCTTTTGACCCTCAAGAGGAGGGTTAAACATGGATTCCTGAACTGCCTCAATGATATCACAGTGTTCTCATTGTAACGCTTCCCCACCCCACGCGAGGCAATCGCCCCGCGTCGCTGCCATATCATCAGGCAACGACAGACGCTGAGACATTGATTTCACAGCGTTGCCAGGGGCAACCACCCTGGCAACCAGAGGCGATCAGCTACGCTGCCGTTGCCAATGCCCGCGCCGGCCAGCTGGGGATTAATGGGGATTAGCTCCGGAGAACCCCAATCGGCCGGTGCGGACGTGAGGCAATTGCGACAGTAGCCTCAACATAGGGCCGAGGGCTGGCGGTATTGCATGGCTGATGCAATGTGACTTTTAGAACTGGTCAGCCGTGTAATATGGCCGCTGTGGTGTGGCCCGCCGGCTTAGATGCAGCAAATGAGGCGTGAAGCCCATCAACGCCAAAAGCAGCGGCCATATTAAACGCTCACGGCGTACCCGCGCCGTTAGGGGTCGCTCCAGGCGGTGGTACAGAATAGCGAGTCTTTGCCGTTAGGTGCCGCCACCATCCAGGGCAATGGTGGTGAAGCCCCGCGTGCGCGGGTGTGTGCGACGCTGTGATTGGTGTGTGCGGCGCGTGCGTGCCAGCGGCTATAAGAGCCGCGGCACAAGGAAAATCGGGGAATGCTCTCTCGACACCAGGCGTACTCGGGACGTAATCTGTAATAGCTTGTAATAGCATCAGTGCAAATCTATATTAAATAACATCAGTCATGGTAACTAACGGACTTCTCTTTGCGTATGTCTTTTGGCTACGCATATAACATTAGAATCTACAACTACGCAGTTAACGTGGTAACGTGGTGGGGATTCATGGCACATCCATAATCTAGAGAGCCCATAAGCCTTGATAGCGCAACGGCTACAGCACAGGATTACAGCTCAAATGTCTTTAGATCGAATCCCATCAGATTTTTTATTATTTACCTGTTTTCTGTATTTTTCTATTTTTATCCATTTAACAATTTTTTTCCAATTAATGCAAATATTTACATAATTTATTTACAACAATTTCATTAAAAAAAAGGGTTAGGGCTAGGGTCACAATGCACCATAAAACAGGAGTTTCAGGCACGCGATTTGTATCAAGTTATCAACCAATGGGATTTGGGAGGTAACGACAGGACTTAAATGTTACGTTTATAACCGTAGCAACAGACCTCAGATGAGCCCAGACGCTCTGCGGCTCTTGTTTATTTTAATGTC